AGCCACAACTCTGTTTCCCTGGTAACACCTGAGGTCAGCAGTGGACTAGCATACAGGGCATTTTCTCATTAGTGGCCTGATGCACCTTTTGGGGTCACTTTTCCACACCTCTACCTCTAATTACAATAACAATAATGGACTAAACTTTACCAGTCATACCAGCACTTGGAGTCTTCCTGACACTTTGATAAGTGACCATATAGGGTTTCCTTTCTGGCAGGATTATGTTTCTGCATACAGCAAGTTAATCAGCATAGCAGTTACCCCACAAACTTTTCTTTTTATTAAAAAATTTGAGACTATAAGTCTGTTTTCTCATTATTTATATGTGGTGCTGATCAAGCATATTGTCGTGTTACAAGTTTTTTTTTTTCTGTGTATATGTCTGTGATAGCCACTTGGTGGGAATAGTAGCCAACAACGGAGAGCTGTCAACCCAGGCCGCACTGAAAGGCAGCCATTTTGTCCAGTTGTGTGACCAGAGAGACATCCCCCTCCTCTTCCTCCAGAACACAGCACCTGCAGCAGCTCTAACACTCTCCACAACGCAGGTATTCACTACCAGTAAAACACACACCGGCTTGTTTAAATGCACATATTTCCAGATACTCATACTAATACACTGATAAACTAAAAAACATAAATAGTTCTTCTGCCTCTTTCTTAGCACTATATTTCTAATAGTATTTATTTAAAAAAAGACATCAAAGAGAAAATGGTTAAAGTAGTAACTCCTGAATGGAAGAAAAGTATGAATGGCATGAATAAAGCCCTGAAAGGGAGGATATAGGGGAAATGATCTTGGTCAGTGTCAGCCGAAGTTATTTAAACATGTTTTGTTTCATATCTGTATTTTCTGTGTGTTTGTGTGTGTTAATCTTTCTTTTAGGCAGAGATAAACAGTAATCGTCTGAAGGCTCAGGGTTCAATGATGTCAGCAGTAGCGTGTGCCTCCGTCCCCAAAATCACTGTGGTGATTGGTGGTTGCCATGGTGCTGACAGCTACGCCATGGTAAGCAACTCGATACCTAAACGTTACTGACATTCCTATACATTCCTATACATTATTATTCCACCATAATTTGTACCTTGTTTCCTGTTTGTCTTTAGTGTGGGCGGGCCTTTGACCCCAATTTCCTGTTCCTGTGGCCGAATGCTAGAGTGGCGTTGACCGCTCCGGGTCACTCCGGCTCCCTGCTTCCCCCTGAGAGTGAGCAGGAGGATGACCTGAACAGGAGGTTAAAGGAGGAAAGCTCAGCCTTTTACAGCTCCGGCAGGCTCTGGGATGATGGAGTTATTTTGCCTCAGCACACCAGGAAGGTAAAATAACATAATTTTGTGAGAGTTCTAGGATTTCAAAGTGTTCATAAAAACTATTTCCAGTATAATTTGAACTTGCCCTTTCGCTTTTTCCCCGTTATGACGTCTTTTTGCGCAAATTAATCTGTGTGTTGTGTGTTTGCAGGTTCTCGGAGACTGCCTAGACATCATCAAACAGCAGCACTATCAGCTTTCCACTGAGAAACTGCAATCAACACTTCTACGTATGTAGAAGCCTCCACCCTTCTCCTCCTCACGCCATCTGGACAACAAAAACCTCTCCCGATATGTGCAAAGGAGTTGCACCAAAATAATGTGCATGAATTTCATTTAATTGAGCATCCTAATGAACCAAATCATTTTTAAACCTGAATAAATTCATTTTTAAAGGATTTCTTTTTGGCCAGTTGGGGGTAGCACAAGAAGCTGTGAACTCAATAATAATGTCTGATTATCTCAAAAACAGTTTATAGACTATGATTAACATTATTACTGCTGTACATACATTTGTGATAATTTAATGTTTGTCTCATTTTTGCACGACAGAGTTTTCTTGAAACAAATGTAATAATACACTTGTATTTGTCTGGTAAAATATTTGTGTAAAAGAAGAAATAAAATGTTAATACCTTTTTAAAATATCAGTTGCAAAAGTATTATCCTTTACATTAAAAAGATGAGTTTTAAATATACAGTACTATTCTAATTATGAAATTAAAGATAGAGCTACAAGGTACTGTTCAATACAGACATTTTTCATTGCAATCAACAGACACTGCTAACTCCGAGCTAGCTCAGCAGCAAGCTTGAAAAAGTAAAAAATCACTGTAAAACAAATAACCTACTCATAAACAGGAATTAGTTGTACATATTTTATGCTTTTGCCTCCCACAGAAACCATTACATTTGATATAAATCATTTTCATACCACCTAATGTTTTACTGTGAATTTGTCCGTGTGTAAAGTGACACTTGTGGGGCCAAAAAACTACATTTGAAAGACTCAACAGCAGTGTCTCTTTCCAGGAATCATGATCCGTTAGTCCAAATAATCCAGACCTGGTTATGAGCAATTTCATGTAGGAACTATTTTCTCTCTACGTATCACCGCACAGAAGGAAACATGCATCTACTCATGGATGAAGTGTGCAGGATGTAAACATTAATGGTGTCCTCCTTTGCTGAGCTGTAACATTAGTAAGCTCAAAAATGCACACTTTGTTGAAACTGCTCACAACAAAGTCTGTTTATCTTGAGTAAGGAGTTCTGGAAAAAGAGGCTCTTGAGTATTTCAAATGTATTTTTCAGACGCTGGAGGCGCTTCAGAAGGCAGACATTTCTGCTCCGATATCTCCAAAACTCTGCAACTAACACCAAACATTCAAGATGGATAAATAGCACTTCAGTTAAAAAAAAAAAAAACATGTACTTTTAATTTTTGGGTGAAGTGTCCCTTTAAAGTAACTGTTGTTGGCTTGTTAGGTTCAGATCTGGATCAGAGACGTAGTTCGCTGGCAGACAGGAGAGTGAACCTGGTGTATTTTATGAAGCGTATTGGCCAGGTTAGGATGAAGGTAAGGTCTGTGGTTTGTACATGCCGTGGAGAGTCACAGGGATGATGGTGTTGACCTCTGCCCTGGCGAGCTCTGTCAGTTTCATGGCATCCAGCACCAGCAGGAAGCCAGGCCTTTCTGCACCGGGCTTCACCACGATACTCAGCAGCACACCTGAAACACAGAGACAGACGGGGGCGAATGTGTGTGTGTGTGTTTCCACCTCAGATATGATTAGAAAGAAGCAGTGGTGGAGGAAGTATTTACGTATATAAGTAAAAGTACTGAGACTAAACTGTAAAAATACTTTGTTACAAGTAAAATTTAACATGTTACTTAAGTAAAAATATGTAGGTATAATCAAGAAAATGTACTTGAGAGAGAGAGAGAGAGAGACAGAGTGTAATTATGTGTCTCCTACCATCGTCCTCCCCTGTGGCTCCAGGTGTTGGTACAAACAACGGCTCTGATGGGTAACAATCTTCCTCTTGCCACACCCAGGTCTCTTTGGTCTGTACGTTCAGCTTGACAATCTACAGCACATCACCAATAATAAACAACCAACAGTCTTTGTTAACATCAGTGCAACCAAACACAGTTCTTTCTTTCTTTCTTTCTTTCATCCGTGAATGATAAAAGTGCTCCTACCCTGTCGGGGATGAAGTGGTTGAGTCCCAGTCCGTAGGCGAAGGAGTACTTCTTCCCACGACACTGAGAGTAGTTAATCTGTGGAAACTCAAAGGCTGAGAGAGAGAAAGAGAGATATACAAAGAAAGAGACCCCTATAAATATATATACATATAAGCATCATGACAAAAAATGATATTCAGTACATTAAATAATTAGAATTATTTTCACCTTTACCAGCTGCAACATTAAAGTGATGAATACGTTAATACATCACTAATTGACCATTCTGCATAATGCAAATACTTTTGGCATTTTAAGGTTATGTTAATGGTAATAATTAAGTACTTTTACATGAGTAAAGGGTTGAATGCAGGACTTTTACACAACAAACATCATTTTTCATATTGCTACTTGGAAATACTAAAAGTCTACTTCATACTTCTTCACATCACAGCAAGAATAAACCCAACGTCTACATACAGTATAAGCATCATACTGATGTAAAATGTCCATTTTCTTCTGCTTTGAGTTGATATTGTTCCTGTCATATTGTTATGGTATGAATAACTTTGTATGTAAAAGTGGCCATTATTATGTAAAATAAACAAAACTAACCACAGATTGTGCATATGAGATTACATGCTATCATTGTGTGTGTGTGTGTGTG